AAGTCATTCTTTAGCCTTGGTGAATCCAAGAACTATCTATGTATGATGCACATAAAAGCTGCTTTTCCAGGGCTGGCGTAGAGTGCTGGCATCCCATTTGGGCCCTAGTTCGTGTCCTGGCCGCTCCATCTCTGACCCAGCTTTGCTTATGGCCTAGGAAGGCAGCAGAGGATGGCTCAAGTCCTTGGGCCCCTGCATCCACATGCAGACCGGGAAGAAGTGCCTGGCTTCAGCTCGGCTCAGCCCTTGCCGTTATCACCGTCTGGGAAGTGAACCAGCAGATGGAGGAACTCTGACTCTTCTCTCTGTAAAATCTGCCTTTCAAGTAAAAATAAGTACATGTTTAAAAAACAATACTACTTTTTCAAAAAGGGAGTAGTTTTCTGAGATATCGAGTAAAGATTATGATCAAAAAAAAAACCTGGAGAAAATATGTACATTTATGTTTTAAGTGAAAATTAGAAAAAAATTCAAGGTACCTTGCTTTCTCAGCATTTGAAATAACTGACTTAAGCTGCCAGTCACAGCCATAGCAGATATGAGGCTTCAACTGTAGGTACTCAGCATCTACAGAAACACTATTTTAGGTCTTGCTACTGGTGAAGATATCTTATTTCTCTTTTATTCATGTTTTGTTTTCTCCACAGTTCCCTGTTAGGAAAACTGGGTTATGGAACCAGAGCTGCCAGTTTGCCATATATTCTTTCATTAAGATGTGAAAAGTCAGCTACTTTCTAGGTGTGGACTTTCCTCCCAAGACATCAGCAGCCCAGCAGAATTGCTTTACTGAAGTGACACAAACCATATCTTTCCAGTGAGACTTAGGAAATAAAGATGAAGGTACTGAAAAAATGTGCTCACCCACAAAGTCACCATGTAATGGTTTTACATGTAAATGAAGACTAGCCCTACAGACATTAATCCTGAAAGCTCAGAAATTTCAGTGTTTCTCATCAAGAGGACAAGGTGGAGATTTTATTCACTTATTCTATTTCACTCATTTATTTAGTTACAACATAAGGAAAGATGTAACTGCATCAGCACATTATGCTTATATAGTAAAACACAAATCTTAAAATGCAGTCACAATTACTAAGCCAGTTAGAATATTGTGGTTCTGTAATAAAAACAGCTGCATCAAAACCACATTAATTTGATATGTCTTTCTTTAACAACTAGTGCCAAACTTCAAACTGATTTGTCAATTCAGCTGAACTGGCAAAATTTCAGTAATATCTATTTTTCTTTTCTTTTTAAAAATCTCCTTATTTATTTTGAAAGAGTTACAGAGATGGAGCAAGATGTACTATCTGTTGGTTCACTCTCCCATACGGACTCAACTGTCTAGACTAAGGGGCTTTACCCTGGGCTCCCAGCATGGCAGGGAGCAGCTGGGCCTTCCTCCGTCGCTTTCCCACACCACGGCAGGAAGCTAGATGGAAAGTGGAGGCCGTGTGGGATGCCACTGTCGCAGGTGGTGGTGATACCTACCATGACAAACGCTGGTCCCAGTAATGTTTGTTTTTAGAGAGCTTTTTCATTTGATTATAATCAAACAGAAAAAAATAATTTCATATATGTTATATAATACATTTTACATATATTTTATATATTTATAATATAGTTTATATATTATGCTTTATAATATATAATTTATATAATTTTGTATATTATAATATACATTTATATATATTAGTCAAATAATAATTTGACTAATTATTACTTATTACAATGCAAGTGAATCAACAGATGGAAGATTCTTTATCTCTGTGTGTCTGCCTTTCAAATAAGTAAACAAATAACTTTTTTTTAAAGTTCTAAAATCTTATTCAGCTAGAATTCTTAAAAACAGAGGATAATGTTAGTCACAAAAAGTTGTGAAAATAGGCTAAGGCATTCAGTATTGCGTAGTTAAGCCCTTAATTAGTAATGGCTACCATACCAAGAGACTGTATGCTATGATGATTTTACAGTGCAGACTTCATGGTCATTTGCAATGGAATTTACATTTTGGCTTATTATTTACTAGGTCTGTGAACTTGAACATAGTACCTCAATTTATCTGTAAAATGAAGTATAAATACAGGCCTCTTTGCTTCCAGTCCACCTCCATGGTAATGTACCCAGGAAAGCAGCAGATGCTGGGGCCCCTGATAACCCATGTGTGAGATCTGGCTAGAATTCTAGCTCTGGGCCTGTGCTCGGCCCATCGCCAGTTGTTGTGGAATTTGCCAGCACATGGAAGATTTCTGTCTGCCTCTGTTTCTGCCTCTTTCTTTATTACTCTTTCAAAGCTAAGGTTTTTAAAAATTAACTTGTAGTATTATGTTCATAACAAGAAACTTATTTGTATCCTACAGAGATAAGGAGGCTACTTTTTCAGTTAGGTGATATGTTTAACTTTAATAGATTGACTCTTTTTTTCTTATTATTATTTTCCATGATACAGGGTTCTAGGTGTAGGGACTCCCCCTCTCCCCTCGCTTCTTCCCTCCCCAGGCTAATCCTAACACATAAATTCAAGGAGTCTTACAAAATCACATGGAAAATGCATATTGTGGAAAAACTATGCATAGATTTCAAAATTTTCTGCATCAAAACAACTTTATTATTCTAATTACATCATCTGATGTTGGTGAGGAGTGGCTGTGCCCCACAGAGTCACTTACCGATCCACACTGAAGGTGCTCTGTGACCTCAGCTCTTACCCCTGTGATTATCATAGAGGAGGAAGAGCACTGAGTTAGGCCCACCAGCCTTAGGTGCGTTGCCTCTTTCTGGTCCTGAATTGACGGACATCATTTCCACTACGGCCTATTAGAATTCATCTTGATGGCCACCTAACTATGAGAGCTTGAGAAGGGCAGGGTGAGCACACTGACAGTTGGTGAGCATGAATACCCACACTACATGACATATGAGCTGCTGATGAACTGAGAGACGAGAGGAAAAAGAAACTTATTCTGCTGTGAAAGTAAAGTTTGCCTTTGGAGTAAAAACACAATGTGAAGGAAGTTAACAACTGTATTCTCTTAAACAGCTGGAAGCTGGAACATAGTGAGTAAAAACCTGAGCAAGAGTAAGCCCTGAGGCAGGTGTATAGCTAACTTTTGTAGTAACATGATTTTAGTTATAATTACAAAATATGTGTTATATTTTATGAATTCTCTAATGGAAAATGTGTACCTGAAGGTTGCTTCATGAGTCATGTCTAAGGATCCCTAGGTACTTCATACTTCTTAAAAAAAAATATTTTGGGCCCGGCGCGGTGGCGCAAGTGGTTAAAGGTCCTCGCCTTGCACGCCCGGGATCCCATATGGGCACCGGTTCTAATCCCGGCAGCCCCGCTTCCCTTCCAGCTCCCTGCCTGTGGCCTGGGAAAGCAGTAAAGGATGGCCCAAAGCTTTGGGAACCTGCACCCGCGTGGGAGACCCGGAAGAGGCTCCTGGCTTCGGATCGGCATAGTATCGGCCCGTTGCGCTCACTTGGGGAGTGAACCATCGGACGGAAGATCTTCCTCTCTGTCTCTCCTCTCTGTATATCCGCCTTTCCAATGAAAAAATAATAAAAATAAATCTTTAAAAAAATATATTTTTATTGGAAGGCAGATCCGAAGAGAGGAGAGACAGAAAGATCTTCCATCCGCTGGTTCATTCCCCAAGTGGTTGCAAAGGCCAGAGCTGAGCTGATCCAAAGCCAGGAGCCAGGAGTTTCTTCTGGGTCTCCCACATGGGTGCAGGGTCCCAAGACTTTGGACTGTCCTTGACTGCTTTCCCAGGCCACAAGGAAGGAGCTGGATGGGAAGTGGAGCAACCAGGACACCAACCATCACCCATATGGGATCCTGGCACATGCAAGGGGAGAATTTCAGCCTCTAGGCTATTACGCCAGGCCCGATACTTCATATATATATATTTTAAGTCCTGTTATATGTAAAGTATAATCACAGTGCATCGAAAATCCTTTTGAATTTTTTTTTACATGAACTTTTAACTTATCTATTTATTTCTTTGTGTATTTAAGAGCTAAAAAGAGATGGCTGAAAGACAAAGACAAAACTGACTGCTGTCGTTGGATGGCGGGAACCCAGCTCCTGGAGCCACCCCTGTGCCTCCCAGGGTCCCTATAAGCAGGCTAAAAGCAGGAGCCACAGCTGGGTACTAGACTCAGGGGCTATGATCAGGGACCTGAGCCTCAGCTGACATCTTAACTGCTCACCGAAACCCACCCATGAATCCTCAAAGTTGTATAAAATGACAGGAAAGCCTTCTATGAATCAGTGAATTACTGTATACCTGTTAAATATTTTTCCAGAAGTCACAAAAATTGTATAATGTAAATAAACAGTTAAAATAACATGTAACATAAGGGGACTATATGCTGCCTACAAGGAATAGTGATAATTACTTTATATATACTACAGCTGTTAAATGTTACATTCACTCTATAAGGCAGATGGTATTATTCCCATTTCCAAACTTTCTCAATTTGTAAGCAGTTCAACAATATAGCTCTTTTAAACTTTAGACACTTTGGCCTTAGAAAAGTGAAGTCAGCTGTGTGTGTCAGTTTTATCTATCATCTGTCATAAAATGTAAATGTTAAAAATGTTTGGGCCCGGCGACATGGCCTAGCGGCTTAACTCCTTGCCTTGAACACGCCAGGATCCCATATGGGCACCAGTTCTAATCCTGGCGGCTCCACTTCCCATCCAGCTCCCTTCTTGTGGCCTGGGAAAGCAGTAAAGGACGGCCCAGAGCTTTGGGACTGTGCACCCATGTGGGAGACCCGGAAGAAGTTCCTGGATCCTGGCTTCGAATTGGCACAGCATCGGCCGTTGCGCTCACTTGGGGAGTGAATCATCGGACAAATCTTCCTCTCTGTCTCTCCTCTCTGTATATCTGACTTTCCAATAAAAAAAAAATGTTTGTAATTTCTGCAATAAAACATAGCTTATAGGGATTATGCTATAACATTATTTTTTTTATTTTTATTTTTAGGGTTTGGACAGAGGAGCCAAGGGCCAAATTTCCACGTTCAGCAGTTTCGTTTCAACTGTTAGTCAGAAGAGAGAAGCCACTGAGAGCAGAAGTTCACCTGCACATCTTGTTTTCCCTAACATCAAGAACGGTAACACTTGATTTATTTTTATGCAAAAATGTATTAACAGTGTTAAACTATTTAAAGTAGATTTTTAATTATTCACTATTGTTCTGGTAGGTTTAGTTAGTATACTGGAAAATAACTAAAAAATGAAAAATAAGTAAGAAGCAAAATCATAATTTTCAAATGATTGTTTTCTACAGTAAGAAAATGAATTAATAAAACTCATGCATACTAAAGTTTGCATAGAGCCAGCTGTAATATAAATTTTATATGTATGTAAAATATATTTTTATGTTTTTAGTATAATACAAATACACATTCAGTACATTTCCTATATTTGAGCAGTAATGAGTTAAAAGTTGAAGAAATACATGAAATTAGATATTTATTTTCTTAGAAAATAAAAAAATATATAAAACCTACATAGAGAAAATTATAAAATGGCTATAAAAAGACTAAAACCTATGTTTTTTCCCTGCATTCAGTAAGTTTTCAACAGTTTGTGAAACTTAACAAATCATTCTCTTTGATCTATAAGAATAAATGTCTCAGAGGATATAAGAAAAAATAAAGGAGCCCACTCCCCAAAATGAAGAAATTGAGAAAACCAAGTGGATAGAGATAGTTCAGTATAAAGTATTTTAAACAGCATTAAATTATTTGAAAAACTGAATCAGGCCACAAATAATATAAAATATATAAAATTAGTAGAAGAGGGCCTGGTGCCATGGTTCAGTGGCTAAAATCCTCGCCTTGCACTTGCCGGGATCCCATACAGGTACTAGTTCATGTCCCAGCTGCTCCACTTCCCTTCCATCTCCCTGGGCCTGGGAAAGCAGGGAGGATGGCCCAAAGCCTTGGGATGCTGCACCCATGTAGGAGACTCAGAAAGCTCCTGGCTCCTGGCTTCAGATTGGCTCAGCTCCGGCCTCTGCGGCCACTTGGAGAGTGAACCAGCAGACATTCAATCTTTCTCTCTGTGGACCTGCCTTTCTAATAAAAATAAATAAATCTTTACAAAATAAAAATAAAAGATAAAATTAGTAAAAGACAATGCAAGAAGCTTTCAAAATACATTTATTCACCAACTTAGTAATTCTATTTCTAGGAATTTAGTCTAATGATGAAGCATTTGTACAAAGACACATGGAAAGAATGTACACTATAACTAGTATTTTAAGCAGTCTGAATTTTTAAATAAATTGTTTTAATTCATATTATGCATATTATGCTTCTGTTACGAATGTGATATATGTATAAGGTGACTAGAGGAAATGCCTATAATAAATTGTAGAATAAAATACAGGATACACAATTATAGGTAAATCAAAGTTCCTTTTCAGTGGAGGGAAACCTTTTATACTCTGTTTGACACCCCCAAGCTACAGCCTTACCAGTTAGTAGCTATCACCTCACTTGTGATCTCTATCTTTGACAATATTTTTTTCCTTTTCTTATTTACAAAAGTAAACATACATTATTCCATCACGCACATCTTCCTCCAGGAGAGCACCAGTGCTTACTGCTCAGTGTCACAGTTCCCCCCATATAACAAACTATGGTTTCATTATAGTAGAGAGAAGTAAAAAAAATACATCTGAATTTAAGGGAGTATTAATAAATTATACCTGCTTTAGACATTTTAACTAGATAAGAACTAGTAAGTTTACTCATATAAAAGGTGAAATTTAGAGAGGACTTTTAAAAATATTATCTTGATCGTAACAGCATTCCCATAAAACAGAATAGATATTAGAATTCCTATTGCATTAGTATTCTGTTGCTGCATAACAAACTACCACAAAACATGGTAAAACAAACAATTCATTTATTATCTTATCACCCTAAGTCACAATTCTGGTGGATGTGGCTGGATTGTCTATTCAGGGTCTGACAAGGCTGAGATCAAGTTATTCCTTGGGCTGCGCTCAGAGAGTCCTCTAGCTACCTTCAAGTGTTGGTTGGATTCATTCTGTGAGATTCTAAGACTGAAGTCTGCCAGGAGCTGCTCCTAGCTCCGAGGGGCCATGCACAATCCCTTTCCTTGGGCCTTCTCATAGATACTCTACAGACGCTTGCTGACACAAGGCCAGGAGCAGCAGCATTGTGTCTTGATTCTACTCTGTCTCTTCCACTAGTAGAAGAAAAGTCTCTTCAAAGGCTTAAGCATCTGGGGGCTGGTGTTTTGTGTAGCAAATCAAGCCACTTCCTATGATGCCAGCATCCCATATGAGTACCTAGTCGAGTTGTAGCTGCTCCACTCCTGATCCAGCTCCCTCCTAATGCACCTGGAAAAGCAACGGAAGACGGCCCAAGTACTTGGGCCCCTACACCCATTTGGGAGACTTGGATAAAGCTCCTGGCTCCTGGCTTCAGCTTGGCCCAACACTTCTTACCTTATTCCCTCTCTAGGGGTGTGCATGTGTAATTATGACTTTTAATTAAAATTAAAAATTAGTATTGGTGAACAGACCTTTTAGCAGATTTTCTTTACCTTATTAAACTTCTGGTGCTGTTTCTTGCAGTTCTGGCTTGGTCCTGCCTAAATTCCGGTGGGATATGAGTTCTACATCAGAGGTCCTGCAGGAAGAAAAAAAAGTTATTTATTGATAGATTCTAATTCCTTGATCTTTTAAAATTGTTTCCTCCGGGATGCGTCATGGCTGGCAGTCCTTGCTTCCTCTTCTCTGGTAGCAGGACCTATGCTGGGTATTCTCTAACAGCTTGCCTGTTCTAGTGGTATTAGAGAAGCTGCAACAGCCCCGCGTGGGTTTTCCTAACGGCTGAGGGATGCCTCTCCTCCCTGCAGAGCCCATGACTAGGTATGCCTGTCAAGTTGGCTGATCTTCTAAGGAGCTGAGGAGTGTGGGCGTCTTACCTACTATAACAGCTGGTGAGGATGATGCATCTTCAGAGAAATAGATGTAGACAAGGAATGGGGGGAGGGGTAGTTCTACATTCTCTCTTACACTTTTGAATTTTTCTTTCTGAAGTTACTACAACCCTTTTCAGACTTAGTTAAAATATTTTTAAACATCACAGAATACCTTTTTTTTAAAAAAAAATGAGACAGATTATAAAATTTTTAGATGCCTTTGCATTCTTGGTAATTCAGAAAAGGATAGATGTGAACTCTGACATTTATCTCGGGTGGTGTTCTGTTCCCAGCTCAGCCCATTTCTTGGATTTACTCTAGCAGAGCTCTGATGGAAGCATGATCAACTCTTTTCTTTTCCATTTTATGACACATTTCCATAGGCTCTGGAATTCCACCAACCCCTCCCCAAACCCTCCCCCCATGTTGATTTCCTCCATATTATTACAGCAGTACAGCTCATAGTCATAATATTTATATTTACATTTACATTTAGCAGCTTATAGTATTCAAGCGTGATTTTTACTGAGTTTCATGATTTTTAGGATAGTCCAAACAGGCTTATAACTCTAACAAGCCATATGTTAATGATTGAGGAGCAGAACAGTTTTAGGAGGTGTGTGCAGAGAAATCTTCAATACCTTAGTGAGGAGTGACTGATCTTTGTGTCCTACCTAGTAAGGTATATGTGAGTCCAAACTGACTTTTCTTGTCTGTTCTAAGCTTTCCTTATTGGTCTCTGTCTGTCTATCTGATCTAATTTTGGAGGCTCCAGAGCAACCCTGATGGTCATTGCAAGAGAGGGTGGGGAGCCAAAGTTGGAGCTAAATAAGGAACAGAGAAAGCTCCTCTCCTGAGTCCCAAAGGAAGTTGATTGTTCTTCTGTTTCTGAGGACTGCTCGGGGCTCCTGGCTGTTGTTCTGATGTCATTAGACCCTGTGAGGAGGGTTCTGGGCTTCTTCCAACCCATATGAGAGATCCAATAGGGAATGGTTGACCTCAGAGTTCTCGGCCTACGAGGGCATTCCAATTCCCTGTGGTCTCCTTGGCAGTTGGGATATAGTCCTTGGTGAGGATCCGGGAGTCTCCAGGGTTGGGATACAAGCCTCCTCCTGTCCATCTGCTCCACTCTGGGGTCCACCCCTGCTCTGTGCATATGACCTCCTGTTAAGAGGTTGTCAGGATCTCTCTTGGATCCCATTGTATGTTTTTACAGTTTTTGCTAATGACTAATGCAGATTCGAGTCTGCTGTCTATAAGTTACCTGTTACAATCTTGATAGATTATACTTAATATCTTCCTCACACATTCTAAGAAGGTGGAAGATTTCCCTGCTCTCCCGACCCACTGCAGAATAACACAGGGTATTAAAAGCATATCAGGCTTTTCAGTTCTTTGGTGTAGATCATAAGCAGTCTGTCTCTCATTGATTATTGGTTCATTGGTTACATCACAATATCGTATTGCATGTGATACAGGTTGTTTGAGGGTGTAATAATATTACAATTTACAGGTACTATTTTTAGGATTTACATTGTTTTGTCTTAAATTAAGGCAAACATGTGGTAGCATGATGAACTTTTTACACAGTCTATAGAATTAAATCCGAGAATTTTTGCCACTCTGAAATAACCAAGGGAAAAATGATAGTTTTTAAAATAGTGATTTGATCTGTGTGAAAGCCTGTGATGTGTTACAGGTAAAGTACCCTGGGTTTTACAGCTTCTCTAAGAGTGTCCTGGGGGACACAGAGGGAGACAAGTGGTGGCTAGAGCAAAGGACTCGCTGGGAGACATAAAACAAATTCGCATGATTTTGCTTCGCTTATCTATTTTTCTATATCTTTATTAATCTTTGCTCCTTCAGCTTTTATTTTGCAGCAGGAAAGGGTTATCTCTTCTTAGTGTATATGGAAGCTAACTTTTGGAGGGCCCTGCACTGTGACCTAGAGGTTTAAGCCACCAGCTTCCAGGCCAGCATCCCTATGAGCTCCAGTTCATGTCCCACTTGCTCCACTTCAGATCCAGCTTTCTGCTGATGTGAATGGAAAAGCAGAAGATGTCACAGGTACTTGGGCCCCTGCACCCATGCGAGAGACTCACATGAAACTCTTGATCTCTGGCTTTGGCCGGCTCAGCCCTGGTCACAG